GCACACCATTTCCAAGCAGGCAGTGAAGAGATTGGGGTAGATCGTACCCTCGTTTGATGCCCTTCGCTACCGGAATCCTGTCGGGATATCGAACAACGAGCAATGTGTTGTTTGTGCAACAGCCAGAGTTAGCTTCCTTTAGCAAGTTGATGCAAGAGGTATCGACGCCCTGTTCAACCAGTACAGTCCACAGTGATTTGTAATCGACGGCGCTGAGCACGTTCTTCCAGCCGACAAAGACTGCAGAAAGGGAGTTGGAATTTCATTGCGTACTGGAGAAATTGAATTGGGTCAAAGACGCCATCCGTTCTGCGGTTGCTCCTTCGGAATCCTGCCTGTTCTGTCGACTGCTTTTATCCAGACATGTTGACAATCTGTTGGTGATGATCTTTGTCAATAAATTTTAGACTTCTGACAGCAGGCAGATTGGGTGATAGTTCTTCAGATCTTCTTTCACGCCCTTCCTTTCAACGTGATGGCACCTTTTCCATTTTCAGGTAGCAGCTGAACCAAAAACCTCTCTACTAAAGGCTCCACAGCGGCTGACCATCTGCTCTAATCATTTCGATTGTCAGACTCTCTTTCTCCTGGGTTTTTCCTTCCTTCATATACATGCCGAATCTAAATTACGAAGACCAGGAGTTTACTTCCTTCTGGCTGTTGGAGCGATGGTGGGGGGTAACAAAATGAGGTAGCTTAAAGATTATTGCAGAAAGGTTGCATCTCACCTCTGCCAGATGTTAACACGCCATCCTTACTCTTCAGCGCTCTAATGGTCGACTGATTAAGTGTTAACTCTCTCTTGCACCGTCTGAGGCTTTTGCTGTCGTAGGCTGTTTTCTCAAACTATATCAGTTGGAAAGTCTTGAAGTCCTTTTCCAGCTTCCGTCTAATAACCCTGCTTAGAAGCAGTACTTAAGCGTATCAATTCCATATCTTTTCCCTCTCATTCTCTTTTCTATCAAACTTTTGTTTCCTCTGAGATCCTCCCTTCCGCACTTTGTGATGTTACACCACCTTGGCTGAGTTTACGCAATGTTTCATTTTCTCAACGAATTTCTCGTGTAGTCGTTGGAGCTGCCTCTCAGGCTTCAGTCTTCGTCGTAAATGAAACGCCGCATCGTAGAACACTGTTGGTCGTTGCCTGCGATTTACTATCCTCAGTGCCTTCTTTTCGATCGCCTCATAGGTTGGCCTGGACCTCACTAGTCTGCAGTCACTGCCGGTGCTAAATAATCACACTCTTGCTATATCTAGGCTGAGGCGGCGTTTATCGAACAGAACGAAGTCGATCTCGTTCTCCATTCCCCTCCCCCGCCGTGGGCGCGGTCCATGCTCACTTCCTATTGGTCGTCATCATGAATAAGACTATGTCATTGCACTGGTGTTTCGTTTCTGCCATAATCACCAGCCGAGCTCCTCGTTCATTTCGCTGTCCGGTGCTGTGTCTACGGACAAACGTTTCATCGATCCTTTTGGTCCGACTTTGGCACTGAGGTCTACCATGACAAGGGTACTTGTGGACTCTGGGAACATACCTGTTCCAGTTTATGATAAGATTCTTTCACTTCATCCTTGTCAGCTCTATTTGTAGAAGCATAGGTTCAGCCGGTGTTCAGGGTTCTTTTTTGTTCAGCGAGAGGCAGAGCATACTCAATTTCGATGATTTCAAACGGCAGGGGACGATTTTGTGCATAAACGTTTGCAGATTTGAATCCGATTCTTTCCATGTTCTTCGCGTCGTTCTTTCTTCCCGACCAAGTCGAACCACTGACTTTTCAGATGCCATTTGTCGTCCGGCGTGGTGTCCTGCAGAGGCCTATGATGTCGCAGGCTATTCGTGGCCTTTCCTCCATTAGTTGAGTGTTATTCTCTCACAGAGTTCTACAGCTGTAGGTGCAAACGGCGAGGAAAATCCGAGTCCATTCATCAAATAGCGGTCTTTCACCTAGGATTCTTAACAGCCAATCGTCAGTCGAACACCCGACTGCAACCATGGAACAGTGTGAGTGACGTTCAGAATACTGAAGCCCTTTGTTAGTGCTGTTTTAGCGCATGAAGTGTTTCCACCCGCTTGAAAACTGACGGTGGCCTAGAGAATTTAGTACAGACAGGTCCCCAATTCTGCTCGGCTTTTTTAATCTAAGTTGTCTCTTCTCGCGAGTGAAGAATCGACGTTTAACTGCAAGACAGCGTTGACATTGGCTGCTTTTTTCTTTAAAAGGGCGGATCACTTTAGCCTTGGCATCAGTCTGTCATTGGACATTATACCACTCTTTGAGGACCGAATATTCGGAGTTCTAGCCTGGCCACGCCTTGGTAGTTTCTCCAGTGTCTATCCGCGACTGCTTATTTGTCACATTTAACCTGTATATCTGGAGATCGATCTTCAGTTCGCAACCCGGGAATTCGTTAGATGATCAGAAGCTAGGCACATTGGAATGGATAAAATTGCAGAAAGAAATTATAAGCTATCAAGAAAAGTGTGCAAGTTGGTCAAACGCGTGAAACTTTGCTGTCACCCCGTGACACTATTACGAGAGTCAGACTTGTGACTTCCCCTTTGGTATCCTAACCACATGCAGAACCAATCACATCTGTGATCTCCCTCGAACTGAGAAAGGAATTACTTGCTTGCAGTTAATAGTATTTGGAATTACCGCACTCGGAGTCGTATAGAATTTCTTCACAGCCAAAGTCTTTCGTAAATGCCTCATGTCTGCCGACTGTATCTGGGTGGGGGGGGGAGCTTAAACCACTCAGTCTGTTTTAATTTTACTCAAGCTGTCTGCATGCACAATGTATCGTGCGGTCCTTCATGAGAGTATAAACGCTTTGGATTTTATCATGCTAATCTTCAGTCCAACTTCAATGTATGCGTCAGCGAACCTTTCAGATTAGCAGTCAGTGTGAGGGAAGCGAATACGAAGAAGTTACCTGTTCAAGCTCAACATTTCTTATGCAATTATATTCATTCTGTGAATTAAAGATGCATTTCTCTGACTAATATTGTTGTAGCTCATTTATTTAAATTGTAAATATTCTAGGTGAAATTGACGCTTAAGCTCGACACTTTAATCATCAAGCTAAGGAGGAGACTGACTAATTGAATCATAGTTTAATTCAGTGACAATCCAGCCTTAAACGATAGAACATTCTTTGTGTATACTCAGTCTTTATGCCTGACCATTGCTGAGAGTAGTTTGCTCAGTCACGAGATTTTCGAAAATTGAAGTTACTTACCAATACCTACCAACAATAATGATTGGTTAATTTTCATAGAGTGGTTTCAGATTCGACAGAACAAAGGTAAGGTTTCATTTGATTAAGGTCCATCTTAATTTCATCGCGCCTCCAACCACTGTTTGAAAATTACCCAACTATTTAAAGTCATTCATGTGGGCTACAAAGCGTGATGTTGTAATGCACCGTAATTCGTAACCAGAGGATGATCGAGTTTGAGTGACTGATAGGTCAAAGGTACTGGTATCATTTATGTCTACCGCAACATATCACTTGCTGTTAATATGAAGGTTATAGGCTTTCTGATTCTACAGTTGGCAGCAAGAGTAAACAAGAAAACATCGTTTTATTTACAACGCTTCAACTGAATTTCATCGGTCATCATCAGGGAATGAACTAGAAACAAAAACAAACTTCTGGGTCAGTTGGTGCTTAATCTGATCGGTTGGACGCTAGCCCGGTCGCTAATTAAGCTGTGTATCATGTTTCACGTCAATGGAGCCAATGCAACCATTGCATGTTCTATTTTAACCCGCTGCGATGCGTAGCGACTCCTTGATTAATAACTTCAGCTTGTCCCGGTGTCGACCAACAACCGTAACATCGCCATTGTTAAAATCATGACCATTCTCCAGGGCATGTGCAACAAAACCACAATAATCAGCGTTCCAGTAGCTGATGGCTCTTCCGTGCTCCGTTAATCTAGTTTTTAACGCTCGACAGGTCTTGTCAATATATATCTGGTCACAGTTATTGCAAGCTATATGATAGACCACGTTTTTATTCTCCACGCTGGGGTGAAGATCAAGCTTTTTGCACAGCTGGTTTCCTAAATTTTTGCCTCTTCAGAAAAATACATTGACTGTAGGTTTTTAAATAACGTCTAATTTCTTCGTATATGCCGGATATATATAGTAATGAAATGGGGGAATTACATTCAAAAGAATGGACGGGACCAAACTTGAGGCGTTTACCGAGTCAACTAAATATTTGGCATATCCGTTTTTAAGGAAAATAGATGAAAGGTGCTTGAATTCTTCTTTGAACAGTCGGTCATCTCTGCAATGGCTTAAAGCCCTATCTCGCGCGCATTTCATGATATCGATGAAGACAGATTTGGGGCTGTAGGACGAAGTGTTAACGTAACGGTTAGAATACTGTGATTTTCTAAACACTGCGAAGGAGAATGTACCTGTGGCGTTTCGTTTAATGAGAATGTCAAGAAACGTCATCTGGTAATCTGCGGTGAATTTTATGTTATTAGCATCTTAATTATTTAAATATTCATGCATTAGTTGAAAATGATTAGGACTATTATGTAAAATGAAAATGTCATCTCTATGTCTTAAATATAGTGTT